GTTTTCCTCTTACATTTGAGCGAAGCAGAATTCCCTGTCATCGATTAACTGCTCTATTGATTAGTGAACACGAGTTTCTTACTATGCTATTCATTTGTCCACCCATAAAAGCTGACGTTTCGACGGTTTTCGACTTTCTCAGAGTTTTGAAAGGTTAACTTAGCTAACTAGGTGTCGTTTATACGGAAGTAGAGTGGTCTATTCATTTCGCCAATGTATTCGTCCCCTCAGGCTTCACAAGAGATCAGGTTCAGCGTGCTCATTCACACTCAGAAAAAGTGCTACTCACGCAATCACCGTCTTTATCGTTAGGGCAAATTATGCAATTTTGCTGTATGCATAGACCGTCATACAAACGGTTACGAACTAGCTAGCGTCTTATAATGTTGGGTGGTATTCCAACCATTGTCGCCCATTTCGTTAGACCTCCTTTTTAAGCAACGTTTTATAGCGCTGTTTATTAGGTCGAAAATGATGGGGAAGGTAGCCTATTCTCGCAACATATTTCTCGTTTGTGGACATGGTTCTTGCTTCAAACCTATTGCGAGCAGCTACTGTTTCGTAGCTATTCGAAAGGCTGTTGGCCCAGCCAATTTCAGGGATTCTCTCTCTGCTTTCTGCCTGTGCATACGCTGGTGGCTGTGAGAAACATGTTTCTCGCAAGCCCCTCTTTTGTGGGGGACGCGAAGAGAGGTATTGACTCAGTATGTTTTTGTTACTTGGATTTCGGTATTAGTTGATGCAGCCGCTTTCGGATAGGTTAATGTGAGCGTTAAAAAATGGAAGCCAATTTTCCTTTAGTTTCTATCAGGTAAACTCAATGTGATCTGATTGTTGGTTCAATAATATGAAGATGTGAAGTTACAGATGTGAAGTTTACAGGTGTTACAGATTACAGATGTGAAGCTCTTGTATGTGCATAATACATATGCGTATATATATGTATATATTTGTGCGGATACCAGCCTAATATCCATTTATAGGAGATTTGCTGGTTAGCTACTGTAGTTCCCTGGAATCCCGAGGTCAACCTGGCCAAAGTCTGCCCCGGGTCTTTACCACCACAGGCAGTCGCAGCCCTTGTGGATCATCTGGAGATTTGCCACAATACGGCTTTAATACCAGGATGATGGTGAATCCTGGTATTGGTTTACTCTTAGCCAGACTTCCTAATGGAAACGCCAGAGTCCTTCTCAGCTTGGGAGACCTTGCCAGGGGACTAATCCTCCGCTTTACATCGCAGCCCGACACCCAGGAACACCTCCCAGCCACGATGAGGCGGTAAACCATTGGGATGATATATATTATACATAATATGATCTTATAAACTGATCTTTTCAAGGTGATGCGAGGTTGGTATAGGTTTCGTGGTCATCGTTGTTGTTGTTGTCGTTGCTGTCGATGTTGTTCGTCGATGGCTGACGTTTCGGCGAGTGCGCTTTCCTCAGAGCCTGGGCGTATTTTATGTAACAGTAGTTTTATATTCGATGAAATATTTACAGTATACAACTAAGATAATGCTGAGATATTGGCAAAACTCCGGACTGCAGGTATCTGCAGTGGGGAACGAACGCGGTATTGTCCTCTCCGGGGAGTAACGCGTTCACCACCACACCATGCGGGTCATTCGTTTCGCCTGTCTCAGCTAGTTCTATTGATCGGCGCCATCAGCAATCACCCGTCAACGGGACTGATCTAGGGAGCCCAAATCGGCAAGGATATTAGCGCGTTCGTTCCCCATCGCAGACACCTGCGGTCCGTATTTTTGCCAATATCTCAGCGTTATCTTAGTTGTATTTCACATGACACCCTAACGTTAAAAATTCTAATAGGAAGTAAGTAAAAAGGGTTAGTCTATTTATGGTATTAATGAAGATCAAACTTTGAAATAAACGCCATATTGACCAAAAAGAATACTCACTGCGCTGTTACGAGTGGGACTGCCCACGTGTTGTTCACATGGCACTGCGTTTCATGGCTTCCTATTTTCTTATTGTTAAAAAAAGGGATCACATGGAGCTGGCAATGGTGCGATCCCATATGGAATTTTGGGAAAGCAATGACACCGATTATCAATTGCTTCGACTGATATGGTCTATTTCGTTATGCTACTCTCCAGGAAGACTCCCATGTGGAGCCTTCAGAAGCGGTCCTCTGAAATTGAACCATCAACGTAACCATGAATGAGCGAATGAATGACTTGTAAGCATAAATGCTCTCCGTCATAATAATAAACTCGGGCAGTTACTCTCATTCATTCCATTGTAATCTGTGCAGTTCTCATCATACGGTTTCCAGCGGAAAATTCAAAATGTATAATACGTGCGTCTTCGAAATTTTAGCTGGCCCTCAGAACTTTATTTGTTTTTAAGGGTTTTTGTGAATCCCGGTCATCCCACTGCAAGCTTTCATCCGCGCAGAATCCGTATGTATTCAAGCGAGCCCGGCTATGCATGCATGAATGTTTGCGCGCATACAAAAGTGACACTGGACCTCAAGGGGCGTATAAGGTGGCCCTTGGTCCTTGCTCGGTGATGCACTACACAAACATCGAACCCTGCAGAACACAGAATCAAAGCGCGCTGGTGATCCTTCAGTATGAAAATGAACATCCGCCTAAAGGGTGAATAGTTGGTATTGAAATCAGTTTTCTTTTCGTTTACTTATTTTGTGAAAAATTATGACGAAAGAAATGACAGCGGTAGTTGATTCTAAACGATTTTTTTGTACCCACATGTATTCACTACTATCTAGAACTCTGATTCGAAGTATAAGTAATCTAAACCTTATTAATTACTTCGATATTTGGATACTTGGACGGCCCGTTTTCATTAGTTGTACGAGCCGCAGCATAATCTCCATTTCTCGGAGTTCTGCTGGTTTAGCCACTGTGTTTCCCTGGAGTCCCGAGGTCAGCCTGGCCAAAGTCTGCCCCAACTTTATGTCAACAAGCCCAAAAATGCTTGTTTTTTATTCACGACAGTGTTTTGCGGAATGCACTTTATTTTACACTCTTAAATAGAATAAATCATGCAGTTTGTTAAGTTTTTGCTCTGAGACTCCTGCGCTAGTCTCATTGCAATCTTAAGCACGACTATGTATCACCTTCCTAGTAGTGATATCCTGAGAAGTTATGATGGTAATAAAGTGGCACCCATCGAAGTCTAGACAGCGTGTAATACATAACAAATGTAGGTGAGTGAATTTATCCTAAATTTTTTCATGAAATTTCAGAAAATAATTTCCAATTGATTAGATAGGCTACTTTGGAGCGCTTTGAACCAGTCACTTTTCTTTTCTTTTTTCTTTGTTTGCTGAACGCCGTTAACCAATTGGTTGATGCTACGAGATTTCTATATGTTTCCTATGATCGGGAAATTTGTTGGTACACCGCCAACTATATGAGTTATATATGCCTCATATGTGGTCGAAGAAAATTTGATTTTAAGTTTATTAGTTTGAAGTGGCATATTTCAGCTCATAGTGAACTTAAGTAAATAAAATGCAAATTGATAGGATCTATACACCTCTTTCAACATCGGACAATATACTTAATCTAACAAGGCAATAACCTTTTTTTGGAGGCTACAAAACCTTCCAATTGTCGAGAAACGATGATGTTCGCGAATGCGTCATTGATGTTGACGGCTACCCTGTTTGTGTTGAAGATTTCAAAAGAAAAAGAAACAAGAGTTTTCAGTTTTCTAAACATCTGAATAGAAGGGAAATTTAAAATGAAAATAGCAGTCTAAAAAGTATACCTACGACAGTGTCTGTTCCATTTGGAATTGTGTTAAGTTCCCAGTTCTTTAGGTACTCCGGTTATCGAGAAATATTAAAGCGAAACAAAAACAAATTGCTAAATCGAACTCAGTACAAGAGGAATAAGCCTAACAAGAGGAGCAGTTTATATGCACAATAGGCTAACTGCAGGTCTAACCATTGTATTATTAAGCTGTTCAAGAAATAGTTTCCAATTTGATGCTGAGATATTTACAAAACTCCGGACGAATGGTTTGTGCAGTGGGGCTGAACACGCTATTACTCTTTCCGGGAGCTTACGCGTTCACCACCGCACCATGGGAGTCCTCCGTGTTGCCTTCCTCTCGGTCATGTTATTGACCTATAGGTGCTATCAGTAATCATCCATCAGCGGGATTGATTCGGAGAGCGGAGAACGGCGAATTTTCCAAGTAATTCTTAAAAGAGTGAAGTTGAAGTCTCTGGAGACGAAGACGACATCACTGGAGAGTCGGGTGCAACTTGCTCTCGTCGATTACGACAATATAAAAACAGTAACTAATGCAGATCAGCAGATTCGACCTTGTTCGCGACCTTGTGAAGTAATAGGCGAAGGCTCAGGAACAACTTTAGAGCAGCTCAATCACAGTGGAAAATGAAACGAGATCGGCAAATAAATGATTCTCTTGCGATATTTATTTATTTTCTTTTACATAACCTGTTATCACACTTACTGATCCCTTACTTACGGATACTAACATTTCTTACATTCGATTCGTTTTCTTCGCATTCATCGTTCACAAACTTCTTCAAACATTTCGCATGTTTCTTGTGCTGCTGCCTGAAGACTTCTCTTCCTTATAGATGTTGTAGAACGCTAGTGGAGTCAGTTCTCTTTGCAGTCTTGGAGATGGCAGAGTTAAGCCGTTCGCAGGTGGAATAATGAAAAGCGTTGATGAGGAGATGAACTAGCACTTTGTTTCCTGCGTCACCAACTACTGCGCTAATATTCAATTACCAACCAGCTAACTAAGACGTTTCTACAAGATTGATAGGCTCCATGCCCTAGGAATTTAATGCTGAATGAATCGTGACGAAGAAAAAAGAACTTTTAGTTCTTCGCACGGGTATATAAATCCTAGAGGTGATCTTCATTTCGACTAATGATCTTTATTAAGAACAGAACCCTTTCTGATAAAATAGCTGTTTTTTTCCCTTCGTTTTTTCTTCTCTTCAGTCACTGTGATAAGTGCAAACATTTGAGGCCCATACTGTCGAGCCCAGCGTACGTAATCCGCGAGACGGCGGAGACAGGTGGACGACTTCTGAAGAAACATCGATGGACGCGGTGGCTGTTCGGTAGGCACAACGCCAGTCCAGGATATCGTATTATCACACCCAACAACCAACCGGAGCCGCCTCCCAGGTATTCGAAATTTGATATTCATTCGCGCAACTTCGCAAATATCTTTTATCTGTGTTTTTTGTACATTTTCTAAATTGTTTCCGTATATCCAATTTGTCCGGATTAATATACTCCGGATGATAACCTTCGAAAACTGCGGCATTAGTTGATGCCTGATGCTTCTTCTCGTCTCAGTCTAACGCCTCACCCTCTCCTTTAAACGACGTCATAGCACACACTCATCCGCTGATGTTTCTTTCTCTTTCTTTAATAAGCAACCTTTTATCTCGTAAATTTTGTGCGCGAGAATAGATTCTCTGAGACGATACCTAATCCGTCGTATCTGTGGCAAGGAAGCTACCCTGTTAATGCAGAAAGAATACGCTATACATGACCTATGTCCTCGCAAAGGCGGTAGGATTAATTGAGTTTGAAAAACAGCACGATTTGCTACTTGGTTCGATAATAAGAGCGTCCATGTAAGAAAAAAGTAGTGAACAACGAAATCCTACTGCAAGGAGTAAAAGCATTGAAGGCACTAGTAATGCTAGTCATAAGTAATCGGCATCCTTATCTCTGGTCTGGAATGTGCAGATCTTACCACATATCATAATCATCCATCGGTAGAAATTTCAGAAAATGTGCACTGAGAAAAATACTGGGGAAAAAAAGAAAAACATCGCTAACACGTCACGAAAATAATACCATTCACGTGACATAAACGGAGAAATCCCACTAAATATACGGGATGGAGGTATTCCAGAACAGTACCACCCATGAAATTGGGTGGGTTCTTGCAGAGGTTTGACGACTTTGTGGGCGTATGTAATCTCTTATTTGACGTAATAAACTCTAAACGATTGTCGTGTCGTTTCACCCCAAATCAAAAATCATTCGTAAATAGGGTGTCCTCAAGAATTCACACAAGCAGCCACTAGTGCCTGTGAAAGGGAAGTTTGTTGCCTTGCGACTAGAATTATTCTATCACGACAATAGTTCCTGGGATTAGTTGAGCATCCTGTCAAGGACCACATAACAAGCCGAATCCTCGCACACCGTAAAAAGAAGTGTTGAAAAATAACACAGAAAAATATCTCGAAAAGAAGCAAGGTTCGTAAGCAAGAAAGAAATGACGAAATACGGGAAAATAAAGAGAAGAAACTTTACTATAGTGCAAAAGCGTAGAAAGTAAAGTTGTATATAAGAAAGCGAGCGGTATTAGACCATACTATACTTTTTGTAACAAAAAATAAAGTATTGTCAAAAAAAATTTTAAAAAATAGGAAAAATAAATAGGTAAAAAATAGTATAATAATACGAATAAAATGAAAATTAAAAACAAATAAAATAAAATAAAAAATGAAATACATAAAAAAATAAAGCATTGTCACAAATACGCTAGGCGTGAAAAACGGCTACATAAGGAAAGAATGTAAATCTATTGAGCGCAAACTGATACTGTCTCCATTACCTCTGTTATAACTAAGGGTTTTGGAATAGTTGTGCTTACTACCTTATTTATACTACTTCTAAGACTTAGGTTGTACTCTCATGTGCTTCGCCTATTGCAGGTACAAACATCCAAATCGCAAACATGCGGACAATAGGATCAGCACCACCAAATACAGTTTACTAACATTTTTACCGAGGAATTTATTAGAGCAAGTATGTCCTATTAATCTAAGTATTTCTCTTCCTCTGAGACTTTTATTTACGCAGTAGGATGCAATAATGCCTGGTTATGTCCTTTGAAATTAAATTATTGCTTCGATAGTAGAACCACTGCATCTTTGGGAAATGCTGTTTATCGAACTGCGATGTGCATCTGGGGTTGTTCTCCTCCACGGTCTTATAGAATTAATCCAACATTTTCATTCGTGATCTCAGCTGAGAGTAAACCTACGCTGCGACAGAGGTCGGCGAACTACCTATGGCTCCGTTCTCGTCATAATGAGAAAAAATCCGAATATCAAATGAAAATTCCCCAGGATATAGCAAGCTAGTTGATGTCAACCAATTATTTGTTAAAGATCTGATAGATGAAGATTTGCAACAACTTCGTTTTAGCTCATTAGTAAACCAGAACATTGACTAGTTATGTCAAGGTTCGAAGAAATTCGGAATCGAAAGGCCACTCACTGCCTCCTAACGGTCCTCCGAATTCAAAATTTCTGGTGTAAATATGATATTCTTCACTCAAATGATGATCCATTCAGAATAATTTGTTCTCATTCACACCATGCGTTCTTCATGAATTGAGTTTTCTCGCGATTCACCCGTAGTGCTATTGCTTTACCTTCTGCGTTGAGCTCACCAAGCGCTTTTTCTTTCTGCTATACTGTTAGAAAAAGGAAGCTGTTATCGGGAAGAGGAACCTCGAAGAGCAATCGTCCATCGAAACCTACTCCTTCTTCAATGGAGTTGACTAGTACACCATCATAGTGCAGATGGGAACAAACTGGCAGTATTGTGTTGCACTTCAACGTTCCTCTATCAACTGAAATGTCGAATGATTGATGATTGGTGAAAATCTGCATAGGCATTGTACAGTGGGAATTACGGTCAAGAGCTATGTTGGACGTGGCAATACCTACATTAACTAAGACAGAATGGACAGAAAGAATGGCATTGGGCTACACATTATCAAATGAATACTCCTAGCCAGCGAAGAAATTGGAACTAGACCTTTGCGATCCTCGAGAGTGCTTGAATGTAGTCTTACCAGCTAAATCGCTTACGAAACCCAGGGTGCAATATAGGTTATCAGGCTCCACCCATGTTTTTCGAACTGAGAGTTAGGGTAATCTTCTTTAAGAGCCCATACAGTACGCTTAGGAACTTAAAGCACCTCTTTATGACGACAGTTCTCGAAATTTTCGTTCAAAACGATATTACACAAGATCTTCCATCGGTTGTACAGCCCTTAGCTATGCACGTGGTATTCGCCAACTCGTAGATGACGGCATTGTTTGGATGAGTACCGTAGCGTCTATTACAGGTGTTGTAAATAGGAAGAGATTTATACGAAATCTGTTATTGTCACTTTATGGTATGGCGGGAAATTGTTGCTCATATAGAAAAATAGTAAGCGAAGCGGAATCATGCACTATTCAAGATCTCGGCCGCAAGTGAGAGAGAAGGAAGGAAAAAATAGAAGAAAGGGGATAGAAAGAGCAAGGAAGAGATAAGCATATAAATATACATATATACATATATATATATATATATATATATATCCTACTACCAATTTTCAGCTACATCGAGCAGCCAATCTGTATTTTATATTTATTGTTGTATTAAATATGATCATTGGAGCGTTTGGGAAGTACATATCACTACTACCCATATCATTTGTCCTCGGGCTTACAGCTATTAAGGATGCTTTCGAGGTAACAAACCTTTGCTTTCATATGTTAATTTGTCCTTTTTCTTCAATCAACTTTATGTTATACTTTACACTTTCAACATTATACTATACTTATTACAACTTTATATTATGCTTTACTTTCTATTCCATATTGTTCTGATAACCAAACGATCGCCGTTTGTGATGTTTTAATCATTGTTTAGGATTATCGACGTTATAAATCTGATCAAAAAGTCAATCACTCAACATGTAGGGTTTGGGATTCAGGCCAGGGAAGGTGTTGCAGATTTAGTTTGTTTCTCTTCTTCATTTATTCTAAAGAAGAGATCTCTCGGAATTTAGGTACCGTAAGCTTGAGTGGCAGCACATTTTGGTTGGAGACTTCGTACATCTCTCGCACGATGAAATCATTCCAGCTGATATGTTACTCCTGAGAAGTAGTGATTCAAATGGTAATTTTTCAATTACGTACACTTGTAACTTACCGACGGCGGGTGTGGCTCCGTGGTCGGAGGCACCCTGCAGCACACACGTGGAATCGATCCCCGCGCCCATAGCCCACCAAGCCTTCTATCCCCTTGGGGTCGGCAAATTGGTACCAGACTTGTCTGGGAGAATAGCAGTACTGACTCGATAGGCCACCGCGAGTCATTGTAAAGGTCAGATATGCATTCAGTTACCTCCAAACGATGCTTAATGAAGTCGAATGCATGGCGCATCCCTTAGGGATTGAACAACGCTGAGGTTTTTTCTATGACTTACCGATTATTTATTGCTTGGAACTCAATCGATTCGTTCTTCCAATGCATAGAGACAAGAGAATTTAAGAAATCAGTCAACTAAAAGTATACTTGCACTTCTATGAGTTTTCAAGTGGCGATAATAAATGCTTAACTAGGTCTATGTTACATCGATACCTGTAACTTGGACGGTGAAAGCAACCTCAAGCAACGACAGGCTATTCGTGCAATGAGCAAATTCCACAATTCTACCGTACCTCTGAACTTTTCTCCGGATCAATTTATGTACAAAGTGGGCCTTAAAGAGCAATTATTTTTCTTCTAAGATACAATTTTACTAACCTCGGTATTGAGCTACAAGTTTCCGTGCTCTCCGCGAACTGACAGATAGTTGAGACGTTAGGTTCACAACTTCTGTGTTCACACTCTCTAGTGTCGGAAGAATATCATGTTTAACATGAAGCATAACGCAATCGAAAAGTTCTGTTCTCGAATTATTAACTTGTAAAAGTGTTTAGGTATGCTGTGAAGAACCCACTACGGATGTATACAAGTTTGAAGGTCGCTTAGAGCAAATAGAAGGAGGTTGCTTGCAAATCCTACTGGATATTATTGCGATGATGTTTTCTATAATGGTCAACTTCTCATTTCATGTCCTCCTCTTCCTCGGGAATTCACAATTTTGGCAAAAGAGAACGTCCTTCTTCGCGGATGCGTTGTTAAAAACACCGATTTTGTGGAAGGAATAGTGTTATATGCCGGTGACGGAGAAATTGTTTATTCATAAGCTCTGCTCAGCCTACATAACAGTGTTTGCTAAGGTATACTAGTTTAGGACAAGACACCAAAGCCATGTTGAATAATAACGGACCACGTTACAAAAGGTACGTCACTTCGTCATTACCTCTATTTACATTTCCATACATTTTTCAAGAAATGTCCCTTTCTGTCGTATATCTTTAAGTGAAGGCCTTTATGAAGAAAACTACTGTTTCCTTGCAGAAATAATCATACACGAATATTTTGCAGTGATAAAAAAAAACTAAACCTGAAACCAAAAACGTTTCCAAATCCCGCCTCACTGCTGGCTTATGCACGAAGATCGCATTAGACGATATCCAGTAATACCATATATGTACTCTTTGGCGCCTAAGAAGAACGTTTTTAATAATGTACTTGTTGCACAGACCTAATTTGTGGTCGACTTAATCCTAGTTGCAGGAGGTAAGTGAATACCCATCAGATTTGGTCACTTAACACGTTGGCGACAGCGCCTATTTTTCGCCACGGCCACTAAGAAGCACATCAGGAGAAAACTACTAGAAGGACCTCTCTGATACAAAGTATCCTACTCGTTGACAAGAACCTGTGTGTTATTTAGTGTATGCAGGAAGCAAATAATGGTCGCTAGACATGTATTTGTACTTGTTCACCAGAGAAATCCTTGTACCATTGTCATTCAGTACTTTCTCTCTGTTAGTCGTTCACTATACTTATCACAGAAATCACCACAGTACTCAATATAATGAAGAAACTCGTCCGAATGAGAGTTTTTTTTTCTAAAATTCTTCTCTAGAAAATAGGTTCCCTCGACCAACGTCTGGTGAATAATTTATAGTGGAGACGTTATCTATTTAACGGTAAGAGTCTCGCGCGCGTAAAGTTCCATTCATAACTAAAGAGGAGGCTATTTTTTGGTCTGCGTGAGTTCATTAAGGATAGGAAAGGTAAAGCGTTCGACGCTGGTCATTTCTTTGGGAATGCGCCATGTATTCGACTCCAATAAGCAACATAGAGGTAATTCAATCCATTTTCGACCTATAGTTGCGGGAGCTTAGCGATGAATCAAGCCAGTGTTTTTAATCTCCCAAACAATTCTGGTACTGATTCGCCAACCCCATAAGGATGGAGAGTTTGATGAGCTTGGAACACAGGATCGAACAAACGACCACCTGTGCATTGCAAACACCTCTGACCGCTGCGCTGCAAATGAACTTCTTTACTCAACGCAGATTATTCTACTATGCTTTGGACCTAAAAAGTTATTGTCTACACTTAACAGTTTACAAAAAGCTGGTTTTCGGAGGAGTTTTTCTTGTTGGTTATTTTGGTTCATTTCATTGCTACTTGACGAAAGTATAGATGCGTCCTACATAAAAATACCTGCCTATTGCAGTTGTCGTTGGACAATGACGATACAGCTTTTCAGCGACCGCTCATTATTCCAAACGCTGAAGGAATACGACAAGACGATGCAATACCGCCAAGACTGCTCCCGTCGCGCTATGGCGGTGTACGGATTTATTCGACTGACAACAAAGGGATACCTGTCGATGGACGACGGCTCTCCTTCAACCTTTATTCTGCTGATGGCGATGTACTCTTTTCGAAAACTATTATGGAGGCAAAGACAACGCTACTGATCTCAATAAAACAGGGAAAGAACCGGACCGGAAATCAACCGGAAGAAAGTTTATTTTATGAAGAACGTTTAGTGTGAAAGAGAACAAATTATATTGGAGAGATCACTAATTGGAGAGACAGCATTTCGCACATACCTTTTGATGTTCAATGAACATAGACAGACTTGAGAGAAGAACTCGGCAAAAGACAACGGGAGTCATGGACGGCAATTGGGCTCCTTTAGGCATTGGGCAAACCCACTGATTAACTTAAAATGATCCCGACCTATGTGCTCAATTACTTCACATAACAGTTCTTACAGCTCTAGCTATGCAACAGAAACATGGGCTGATACTTCAAACATATCAGAAATGTTACACACAATACAAAGAACACTGAGCGCTATCTTCTGAAGATTTGCCGGCAGTCCTCAAAAAATATCCCTTCTCCAAGACCCAGCAGAATACGTAACAAGAAATAAACATCGATCGGTAGGTCACATAATGGAAAGATAAGGTGGTAGATAGTTGGGAAGAACAATGGATTGTATACCGACAGAATCAAAACGATCTCGAAGAGAACCAATAAGTGGATTGGCTGATGTGTTCGTTACATGTCTAAACTAACACTACTGCCATCTGGAATCAAATTGCAGATCAGAAAACCGTAGTGGAAGCAACAAGCAAACGGTAGAACTTCCACTGATCACCTATCATTTGCGAAAGAATGAAAGCAGTGGAGAAAGTGGTGTTGTTCGCACCTATTTTTATCCTACTCCTCATCTCAAATGATGTAAGTGCAGCTATAAAACTCTGCTTAAGAAGGGCGGGTCTAGAGAAATCGATAAACGTAGTTGAAATGCCACCGAGTAATCTTAGGCGCCAGCTAGTTCGTAACCACCTATATGACGGTCTATGTGCAACCCAAAATTGCATAATTTGTCCTAATGGTGGAGACGGTGATTGCATGAGCTCGGGTATAGTTTATCTGATCTTTTGTAAGGCGTGCGGAGACGAATACATTGGCGAAACGGGCAGGCCTCTCTGTGTCCGCATGAAGGAACACCTAGTCGGCAAACGTAAACCAAATACCCAACTAGGCACGCATAGGACCTGGAGACATAACGGGGAGGACTTTGAAGTACGTGTCACGATCGTTGCACAGGAAATAAGAACACTTAGCGTTTTCTTTGTTTGGTTATGGAGGTGTTTGGCCGAATAGCTTGCTGTCAACTTGAGCATTCCAGGCTCTGAGGAAGGCGAAATCCCCAGAAACGTCGGCTTATTCGTGAATAAAGAATAAAAATAACATCTCGCGTTTGGTCAACAAGAATACGAAGAATTACTTGATCAGTGTCGAGGTTAATAGAAAGTCGGTCGCGGGAGTTGTATAGTTGCAACCGTAGCGTAGTGATATCTCTGAGAGAGGTCCATCAGTGTGCTTCCACATAGGACCTCGTTTCCGATTCTTATTCTTGCAAAATTCTATTGATGTTGTAAGCATCATAACGTCATACTCAGACAGGTTTACTTAAAAATCTGAAATTCTCACAAATTAATAAATTGAAAAGTGTAAAGCTCTTGGTGTTGGTCAACCATGTATTCTTCACTAAGCATCGCTGGAGACGACTGAATGCATATCTGACCTCTATGATGACTACCGGTGGCCTACTGATGTATCGAGCCAGTGCTGCTATCCTCCCAGGCAAGTCTAGTACCAATCTCCCGGCTCCTGGGGATAGAGGGCTTGGTGAGCCTTGGACTCGGGGATCAATCTCATATGTTTTACAGGGCGCTTCCGACTACTGTGCTACACGCGCCAACAACATGCACTTTTACATACCACATACTACTCACAACCTAATACTTCTATAACTAGCAATATTTCAATATAATTTGCATTTATGCCATGATTTACCGCCTCATTGTATCTTGGGCTCTTCCAGTATGTCCAAAAATAAACTAGCCTTTTAACTTCGAACGTACATCTCTCAGTTCATAGTGACTATGTCAGTTAAAATAAGAATTATTAGAACCTACAGATATTTACCAACACAATGCAGTTTTCTTACTCTACAAATACGAAATTCCGATTTCCTGAAACTCATAAGAACTGCTTTTCTTGTGGTTGCCTATATTTCGAAAACTTGAGCTATTGAACAAGTACGATTTGCTCCAGGAGGTTGTTTTTCAGTTTTTTTTTTAATGATTTGAACTTCAAATAGAACATAGAATGAAATAGAAGTCTTGGAAAAGTTGTACATACAACAAAGTAAATTCTCATGCCGAGGTTAATGGAAAGTCCCTCGTGGGAAAGCAAAGTCTGTTCTATAAGCATGTTAAGTTCTCAACTACTCAAACAATTTAGTTTTGAGGAAATTTATCGAAAACTGTTGAAAAACTAGTCTCGTCCGGGCATGTATGATACGTAAAAGTGAACTTTGACCACTATTTGATTGTTATTTCATTCCATTTATTATAATGAATCGTATTTATCTCATGGAATAGTTATATGTTAAGAAATATACCGACATATAGTTCATGTACCTTGTGAAAAGGGCGCGCGCAGTCGTCGGAGGCGCCCTACAGCACACACGTGGAATCGATCCCCACGCCCACGGCCCGCCAAGCTTTCCATCCCTCCGGGGTTAGCAAATCGGTACCAGACTTGTTTGGGAGGATAGCAGCACTGGTTCGATACATCGGCAGGCCACCGCGAGTCATTATAGAGGCCAGATATGCATTCGATCACCTCCAAACGATGCTTTATGAAGTAGAATGCATAGCGCATCCCTCAGGGATTGATCAACGTCGAGAGCTTTATCCTATATCCTTATTTATCTTGTGAAATGGACTACTAAATGCAGACAGCAATCCAGTCATGTAGTGGACGTTTTTTCCCACCCAAGTGTTGCAAATATTTCAAAAGCGTTGGAGAGATAGAGAAAACTAAAAAGTCGTAGGGAACCAAAACCAGCAAAATTACGAAGACACGCAGAAAAACCGAATTATCGAGTGAAAAGTACTACAATAGTAGCTGAGATCATTCTGAAGGGAAAGTGGCCAAACTAATTATGAGCTGCTATCAACTCATACCTAGTGTGGCGAGAAATTAGACATCGAATAGTTCCCGCAACAACAAGGATTTAGGCATAAGATGCCATGTGTTAGTATAGAAGATACCGCACAAAATGTTGTGCACGAAAAGAAGTAACTGGGAAGAAAGTGAGTCATATACGATACATGTCAGCCAAATACAGCGACACCTATTAATCGCATATGTCTAGCGTCACGCGCGCGCGCGGCGTTTAGCGCGGCCGACCTAATGCTACACGAGTAATCCCTCGTCGTCCGCGGACGTTCTTTCTTTTGACAATGTACAACGATTTTTCGATAACCAGAGGCCTCAGGGGTTGTGAACGTGACAGGGCTATGGATGATAGTTTCTTCAGTCAATCTAGAGGTATGAATGATACGTATGGTGCCGTTTACTAAGTGTTATTGTGGTCCATCATGTAAGCACATTGATGTCAGCGTTTGAAAGTCTTCTGGATCTTATGTTGAAGCAACTTCAGTATTTCTGTGCAAGCATATTTCACCCGACAACGTCGATTCATTAAAGGATAAAGGATAAAGCTCCGCGTTTATCAATCTCTGAGAGATGAGCCATGCATTCGACTTCATTAAGTATCCTTGCACGTGATTGAATGCATATCTCACCTGTACAAAGACTCGCGGTGGCCTACCGATGTATCGAGCCAGTGCTACTATCCTCCCAGACAAGTCTGGTACTGATTTCCGACCCCGGAGAGATGGAAGGCTTGGTGGGCCATGGACGCGGGGGTCGGTTCCACGTGTGTGTTGCAGGGCGCCTCCGACCACTGCGCCACAAGCGCCCAAAGACGGTTTATTATATCGATCAAATTTAAAACAGCAGTCAGTTGCCGGTCAGACTACCTGTCAGTGAACTTTTCGGAAGAAAGGCTTTTGGCAAATCGTGAGCTGTAGAGAATACGTCTTCTGCTCTGGGCTCTGCTAAAAGTTGATCTGGTTTCGGCCAGCTATTTCTTGTGGTGACCATTCCAACCATTGGAAAGCTTCAAACAATTTAATTAAAGCGGAAACCCCAGTTTTTTACACTTCTGCAAATCCCATTAATTCATTACTCACAGCCATGAATTCATTACATGTAGCTTCGAAGGAAACCTCTGTGGAGTGGTCGGAGTTCATTTTGCTTTTGTCTTCACCTTCTTTTCCTTGTTTTTCATGATTTCGACCTTTACCATGATCATCCGCAGCTTATGAAGCTTAAGGAATTTTAGTTTTTTTTTTCCAAATTTTGGCTTTAAAAGGATAACTGGGATCACAATTCTGCTTCTGTTATTTTCATCCAGACGTTCTAGTCAAGGTTGACAAGACTGTTTCCTCAACATTACCATCAGTCTATGGTGGGGAACGAACGCGCTATTATCCTTTCCGGGGAGTAACGCGTTCACCACCACACCATGCGGGTCCTTCGTTTCGCCTAACGCGCTATTATCCTTTCCGGGGAGTAACGCGTTCACCACCACACCATGCGGGTCCTTCGTTTCGCCTGTCTCTCAGCTAAATAGCTAAATAGGGGCAGAAAACAAAACGTTAAACATTACCATCAGTAACTGCCACGACCGACTTTCTATTAACCTCGGCATTGATCAAGTGATTTTCGTATTTTTGTTGAGCAAACGCGAGGTGTTACTATTCTTTGTTCACGATTAAGCTGACGTTTCGGCGAATTTCGCCTTCTTCAGAGCCGCTTTCTATGAGGTTTCCACTACTTTCCACTTTCTCTTAGTGGAAACCTCATAGAAAGCGGCTCAGCTTAATCGTGAACAAAGAATAGTAACACCTCGCGTTTGCTCAACAAAAATACGAAGAAAATTACCATCAGTGTTCACTAGTATCACTTCAATTCGCCCTACTTTCAACAGCTCTCTTAGCTCTCTCATTCGCTCTTAGCGTAATATCACCAATCCTGGGAATATTAGCCGGCGGCGTTCTTACCATTTCATAGAAAAAATTCACCATCGAGAGCTGGTAATTCGTAATTCATAAACATCTTTCACTAAATATATATGTTTTGGATTCTTGGACACTTGGATGGCCCGTCTTCACTGGTTGTGTGTGCCCTAGCATGATTTCCAATTTTCCGGAGTTTTGCTGGTTTAGCCATTGTGGTTCCCTGGAGTCCCGAGGTCAGCCTGGCCAAGGTCTGCCCCAGATCGTCACCACCCAGCCGCCGCTCCTGTGAATTAGAGGAAGATTTGCCATCATGCGACTAGTTTGATACCAGGACGATGGTGGATCGTGGTATTGTTTTACTGTTAGCTGGGTTTCCGGATGGAAACGCTGGACTACTCATCTTGGGAAACCATACTGGGGACCATTCACCCCGCTGTACAACGCAGTCCAACACCTAAGGACATCTCCCAACCACGGTGTGGCGGTAAACCGTTTAGAGGCTGATATACATTAGTAAGTAAAGAAACACCTAGCATGGTCTTGTTATTGTCCTGTAGTTCTCTTAGAACGAGTTATTTGATTTCTCCATATTTCATGTCGCATTTTCACTTGTCTTCCAGAAGATTGGAGAAGTTCTGATTTCAGGAGTACTCTGGAATGCCTCGCGAATCTGGATGTCATTTGGTGCATAGTTATCCTCCTTGCACTTTGCGTGGCTGGAGCAGTACTCTCAGGTCTGATTGTACCTTACAGCTATAGTGAACTTAGATCTGGGACACTTTCCGGTTCAAATACGAAGAATAGTGGTATTGCTTGTTAAAGCCACATCTTGCATGACTTATTATTGCCTACCGAATATTATAAATGTTAGTCTTTGCGACTGACAATGGTAGTTTAGGTATTTGGATGCGAAGTTTTCCTAAACCCTACGATGTTCCGTTCCTTACATGGTCTGAGAGACCTGGAGGCTCCACCTTTCGTCCTTCTTTCGAAAGCTTTTGGAACTTTTGGTCATTCATAATTGTCTTGCAGGTACGTTTTATCGTATCTTAGATCTCTTCAATACTTTTAAACCTTATCTTTGAGATCGCTCATATTTTGTATTCCTATAGGTTTTAATACCTATTTCACTGTATGTGTCCATCGAATTTATAAAAGTTGGCCAAGTATGGCTGATATCACAGGACAGGAATATGTATTACGAGAAGGTTGACAAGCGATTGCAATGTCGGCAAGTTTAAGTTTACTATATAAAACAAGTTTTAGTCCCATTCCTTGTATGAGATAAGTTTCCGCTTCCTTTCGGATTATATTCTTTTTGTTTCCTCTAAGTAGTATGTTCTTCTGTCCTCCCAATGGTTTACCGCCTCATCGTGGCTGGGAGGTGTTCCTGGGTGGCCGACTGCAATGTACAGCCAGGGGATTTATCCTCCCAGCAAGGCCTCCTAAGCTGAGAAGCAGTCCGACGCTTCCATGAGCAAGCCCAGCAAGAGTCATTACCAGGATCCACCTCCGTCCTGGTATGAAACTAGTCGCATAGTGGCAAATCTCCTGCACCACAAGGGCGGTGATTGCCAGTGGTGGTGACGACCTGGAGCAGACTTTAGCCGGATTGTCCACGGGTTTCCAGGGAACCACAATGGCTAAACCAGTAAAATCCTGATAATGGAAATTATGTTGGGGCCCACACAATTGGTGAAGACGGGCTATCCAAGAATCCAAGTAGTATGTTCTTCTCTAGGGCATTGAATATTCCTGAAGAACTTGGTCAAGTGCAGTATGTGATGTCGGATAAAACAGGCACACTCACTGAAAATCAGGTATAACTCTTCTACACTTTGAATGTTTTTCTATTCTTTTTCCTTAGGATTATACGGTTTTCCGTTTCACATACAGCTCTGTTTTTTCTCACCTGTTTTCAATTTTCCAGATGTTCAAGCTTTTTAGATGGTCTTTCGTCGATGCTCGCTCAGAGGTCGAGACTTCGGGGGGCATTCCGTAGCAGCAGCCATTGATCAGCCGGCTGACAGGCTAGGCAGACCGCGCCCGTCTAAAGATAGAGGGCTAGAGGCTTTGTTAAGTCGGGCTATCCGAGAGGCTGACTTAGATAATCCCATATTCCTGTTTTTTCTTACCATGGCCATCTGCAATACAGTTGTGGTAAACGAAAAACCTCACGAGGTATTGTCTAACAAATGTATTTTGCAACATTTCCGGTGAAAAGTGAGGTGATTTGCACTTGCGTCTACAGGATTTGATGGATCCCGACGGTGATATGATCGACTCTTGTGTTGAAGCTTCGGATGACGTTGAAAGATCGGTGATTTCGCCTTTGAGCGTGAAGTTTCTCGAAGAAGTGGAGGAGGAGATGCAGTCACTTCAAAATCTGGAGAACTCACGGGAGTCCATTGAACTTATTCAGTTTAATGAGGGAAAGGTCGGTTCGCTGCTTGAATAATACCAGCTACCTTCTTTTTGTCATTTCAATCGCTGTTTTAGGAAAGTGAGCCCGTTGGACTCGATATAGCGGATGGTACTCAAAAAGTTGGAGAAATCAGTTATGTTGATGTGAAAGAAAAGAACTACGCCAAGAACATTCCTGGTATTTTACAGCGACCAGTCTTACTTGGTTTTGCTCGTCTAAGAGGAATAAAGGATCTCAGCCCTTTCCGCAGGTTCGTAGCGTCCAAATGTAAATGTTTATATGTGTATGGTTATGATTTGACTACCTTTGGTCTCTGATGTTGTAAGTATGTTGCTTAGGTCAGTGGACAAACGTCAGTCGCAATCCTCGTGTGAGATTATCACCCCTCTGCATTCGTACTATGACTCCGAGTCTCCAGATGAACTCGCTCTTGTGGAGGCAGCAAGAGAATACGGTGTTCGATTGCTCCGCAGGCGATTTGACGACATTATAATTCATCTCAGAGCTACTAGCCAGACCGTAAAATACAAAGTTCGTGTTTTTTTTTCGTGAATGGCAGCAACAAAGTACGTTATAGACGCTGGAAAACGACGTTGAATGTTGATATAGAGTGTTGAAAACTTCTGTCCGACTATTTGCTTGCAAGAAAATTGGAGTTCTTTTCAGCTGCTTCACACCCTACCGTTCGATCCGGATCGAAAGCGAATGTCAGTGGTGGTGCAAGAGTGCGGCGGAAAGAAGAGAATCATTCTTCTTACGAAAGGCGCTGATGCGAGCATACTTCCTGTTTTGTCCACTGCATATTCTACATCAGTACATGGGGAAGACGAGATCTTCAAAGTAGCCTTGAAATATTTTTCTTATTTCTTTGTGGTGGTGTATTTAGGCTGAGTACAAATATTTAGGCCCAAGAACACCTGTCTGATTATGCTAGAGAAGGACTGCGAACTTTGTGCTTGGCAAACAAGTACTGGGACGAAAAGGAATATCAGGTCCTTATTAACCTTTCATTTTTTTCGTAGTATAATTTTTCACAACAGAGTATGATGTGAAATATAACCACAAGAATGCTGAGATATTCACAAGTCTTGGATCTCCCTCTTTCTATTACAGCCTCGGCTTAACTGGGTTCAATGCCGATTTTTGGTACCTAGATCAATCCCGCTGGTGGATGATTGCCCATGACAGCGTTAGGTAGAAGGCTAGCTGAGTAAAACGCAGAGCAAGGGCTACCGTGGTGCAGTGTGAAATACGCATGCCCTCGGAAAGGGTAATCGTGGTTCGGTTTGGCCCGGCATCCAAGTTTTACGAATATTTCAGCATTGTTGTGGTTGTTCTTCGTATCAGGTCCTTGATTTTTAAGGAACACATGCTCCGACATATATTTATTTGCTTAAAATAACTAACTTTTTCATTTTTCAGTCGTGGCGTTCAATTCATGAGGAAGCTGAACTTGACCTTTATCACCGGGAGAACATGATTCGTGATAGCACATTAAAGGCAGAGGAAGATTTAGAACTATTAGGTGACTATAACATATATTCGAAATTTATATACCCTTTGTCCGCAGGAATTAGTTAGTGCTTTCCCGCCTAAACGACATGTATTTTACTAGGTGTCACAGCAATAGAGGATCGTCTGCAAGATGGGGTTCCCGAATGCATCCATCTATTACGAGAAGCTGGAATTTGTGTGTGGGTTCTTACAGGTGACAAGGTGGAAACCGCCGTAAATATTGCATTTTCCTCCAGGTAGTCCTTCGTTTTGTTCTAAACAAGACGTTTCATTAAGTTTTTCGTACCCTACTCAATGCTCATGCAATCATTTTTTTAACGTTCAGGCTGTTCTCGTCCTCAATGGACATTCTGAATATCGGTGCCAATGGTGTACGATCAGTATCCGATTTGCTGGATGAACATCTTCTTCGGTACGCTTCCTATTTAGTTTTAACTTCAATTTTTATATAATACCCTTGTAGTTTCAAATAATATCTCTTCGCTAGCGGTATGCATTGGTTGGAGTGAATGCTTACGCTCCGAAATATCATTCAGCACACAGATATCGTAGTAGCTTGTTCATCAGCTATAGTTCTGTGTTGTTCACTTCGTATAACTCGCTGGAGGACTAATGAAAACGTGGAGGCGAGCAGTCGCTCCACTAGTAGTTCTCTTCAATTTGTTTGGAATAGATCATCGTTGTAAAGCGTCTGTGATGGGAAAGCTATTGATTTAACAGAAAATTTGTCCCAGGAGGTTTTTTTACGGCAAAGAAAATAGTTGAAACGAAAATGTACTATGTTAATGGCGTATGTGTTAATGTTCTCATGTCATCTCATGGCACTGCGAACAAATTTTGAGAGTCATCGAAACATACCATTAAAAAATAATTTCTGTTGAATATAGCGTTGGTCGAGCTGAGGAGATTACTGATCAAGCTGTCTTTGGTCTGGTGTTAAATGCATCGTGCCTTGACTATTGCGTGGATCCGCACAATGAGGAGCGGTTTGTTAGGCTGTTAAAAAAGTTCGTTTGCTTACAGTCAAAGTTTTTGTGTATCTGATTGAGTTTGATTCCTTTTTCCTCCTTTCTAAGCTGTCGAAGTGTCCTGTGCTGTCGCGCTACACCAATTCAGAAGGCATCACTTGTTAAGTTGGCAAAAACACGCTTAGGTGGGAAGGTGCTTGCGATAGGAGATGGTGCAAACGACGTTTCCATGATCCAGGTATTACATTTTAAGCCGACTTGTATGAAATTGGAACAACTCTTCTGTTGATGGTGGTTTTCTTTTAAAATTTGTTTCTATTTCTCACTTCAGCGCGCCGATGTTGGCGTTGGATTATCTGGCCAAGAGGGAATGCAAGCTGTTATGGCTAGCGACTTTGCGATGGCTCGCTTTCGTTTCCTTGCAAATCTTCTGTTGGTGCATGGACACTGGTGTTATCAGAGGCTTTCCCAAACAATCTTATACTTCTTCTACAAAAACGCTGTATGTTCTCGTCTACGTTTCCAACATTACTGGCCAAATTAATGCGCCAAAGGATATTGTTTAGATGTTTGTCTTCACAATCTTCTGGTATCAGATTTTCAATGGTTTTAGTTCACAGGTGCCGATTGATCCGATATATCTCATGATCTATAATCTAATTTTTACATCAGGTATATTTCCCTTTATCTGCTGAAGCTTGTTCAGTTGGAGACACAATATTTCCAGTGCCTGCGCTTTTATACGGCACTTTGGAACAGGATGCCCCTGCGGACGTACTTTTGGATGTTCCGAAATTCTACGATCATGGTCGGCTAGGGAAGGTGAAAGAAATACCTTTGCAATTTTCTATTTACTATAATTATACTCGTATCAGAAGTATCGATGGTATTCGTTCTGGTTGAATATGTTGGACGCTGTATGGCAAAGCGGTGTCGTGTACTGGTTATCTCACTTTGTGAGTTTCTTTCTTATCCAGTTGCTTACAGAAATCTGCTCGGTGTGTAAATATTTGTACCTGCAAAATTTTGAACCTGACGTCTTGCTGTAAATCTTCTAACGAAATTAGAGGTTCCGAAGAACAGACTCTCCCAATCGCTTACCGCCTCATCTCGGCTGGGAAGTATTCCTTGGTGTCGGGCTGCGATTTAAGTCGGGGAGTTCGTCCTTCCAGCAGGGTCTCCCAAATTGAGGAGTCCGGGGTTTTCATCAGAAAGCACAGCTAAGAGTAAACCAATACCAAAATTCACCACCATCCTGGTGTTAAACTAGTCGCATAGTGGCAAATCGCCCTCTTATCCACAAGGGCGGCCACTGCATGGAGTGGTGACTACCTGGGGCAGACTTTGGCCAGGCTGACTTCGAGGCTCAAGTAACCACTATGGCTAAACCAGCAAAGCTCCAAAAAATGGAGACTACGCTGGGACCTACACAATCAGTGAGGACGGGCCATCCAAGTATCCAGGAAGAAGAGGCTGTTAGTGGACCCACATAACACCAGTATCTGATTATTCATGAAACTTCTGATGAGTGTAAGTAGTGAAGTGCTTGGAAGTATTCATTTGCAGACCTATAATGATACTGTGTGCGACATGTGGACATTCGGGGTAGTTCTATGTGCTCAATTGCTCTTTGTGAACACTTTCCATCTTGCCTTACTTATCCAATATTGGGTACGTTAAATGTCATTGCAATATTTACAAACTTTTTGATCGTGTCGAGGAAGCTTCGATCTCCGTTTCAGACATGGCCTATATTCTTTGCAATGGTTCTTTCTGTTGCTTCGTTCTTTGTCACTGCGCTGCTCTATAACAGTTTTGTAACAGCTGAATGGACATGGACAAACGTCAAGGATACCCCAGTCTTCACTGCTCAAAGAGCGATGGTCGACCCGACGTTCTGGCTTGTGAGAAGAATCAAGAGTAGAAGTGAAGTTGGCTTGGACCGTTTGTTCAGAACAAGATACTTTTCAGGTGGTATTACTATCAGTTGTCCTGTCCTTGATCCCTCGTTTTACGTTGATTACCATTACGAATTCGTTGCGGCCATCTCGGATGCTGAAACGACGACAGATATCCAGTGCCGTCGACAACAAAGCACCTTCGTGCATTGCGTTTTCTTGTTGCAAACGGGTACTATGCGGTGATTATGTAGGTTTTAACATAGGTGTTATTTTGCTTAGGTCTACTAGAATCCCACTGAAGTGAATTTGAGTTCTTTGCCCTGACATATAAGGTTCGTTTAAAGAATCTATTGGTCATACACTCTCGTTCTATTAGGGAAATTTTAATTCCGTTGATCAGAGAAGAATTCTTCCAATAAGCACATTGTATAGGGTCAGATGAGATCATCTACAATATTTTGCGATCACTTACTGGTTATAGTAAGTAATGTTCAGCAACCGTCGCCCCCCCCCCCCCTAACGGTTTACCGCCTCATCCTGGCTAAGAGGTGTTCCTGGATGTTGATCTGCGACGTAATTTACGGTGGGGGATTCATTCCCGGCAAGGTCCCCCAAGCTTAGGAAGACTCCGGCGTTTCCATTAGGAAGCCCAGCTAAAAGTACACCAATACCAGGATCCGTCGCCGTCCTGGTACCAAACTAGTCGCATGGTAGCGAATTTCCTTCTGATCCACGAGGGCGGCGACTACCTATGGTGGTGACGCCCTGAGCAAACTTTGGCCAGGCTGATCTCGGGACCCCAGCGAAGCAATGGCTAAACCAGCAAAACTCTGAAGAATGGAAATTATGCTGGTGCGCGCACAACCAGTGAGGACGGGCCGTTCAAGTATCAAGTATCAAGTAATGTTGAGGAACAGTGGGAACGACACAACAACATACTGAGTGAAAAGTCACAATAGCATCTCGATTAATGGAAATTTCACGATCTTCTTCATTTAAAGTTTATTCCATTCAGGATATCAAAAGCTCATTGCGAGAAGGAGGGACTCATTTATAAGAACTCAGTAATCACAAAACTGACAAGAAGAACAAGAAGTGTTCACCCGCCTTTATGTTTATTGTGAAGTTAGGTCTCTTTCCAACTACTTAACTGTTTCTCTCGAAATCTGCTTCAAATCCTTCTAGTGAAGAAGGAAATTGTTAGAAGAAATACATTGATATCGGGGTTTCATCCGGTACCGAATGATTTCTCTGAGTTTCTAAGCATCCAGTTTATGGATAATGGACCTAGGCAAATTTGTAGTTTTCAGAAATCATGCGAAATGACTGGTTCGCTACATTTGCAACCCTAATTCGTACTGCTGTGCCTTCCGTTCCTTTTTTGAATTCTATTAAATCCGCAATATACACTTCTCATCCAATCTCGCGCTATTAAAGTTCCACTGGTAATACAGCTTTGCCTATTTCCAAGTCTCCTCGATTAACTTATTTCTCTTTTTCACCTAATTTCTCTGTACAGATTCGTAGGAAAGGTAGTTATTTTCTATATTGGTGGTTAATTTTATCAAGGATGGACGAACCATTTCGTCAATGGGATCAATTTGTATCTTCCTCGGTTGTTTGTGTGCCTTCCTCATGTCCTTTGTTTGCCTTGTTATATTACGTTTTAGGATTTCTCTCCTATGTTGTTACACTTATACAGCATCTGATGTGATATTAGGAGTACCTGTGCTCTAATTGTACAGACTAATATGATATGATTTTGCAATGATAAAAAGTTTCGAGTGGATCCCTTTTCTGTTTTGGTTACTACGTAACAATCTTACGCGTCAACGGTTGCTTAGTCGTCAGCCCACACGACCCTCCACATGTCTAAGCAAAAGCATTGGGACACGCATAAGTCATTTTCACACTCAAAACTGTAGCCAAGTACTCAGATGTTAATACGTTTAACGAACACAAATATCCAGATATTTAACTGTTTTTATTCAAAACTCGTGGTTACTAATGGCAGCGTTAGGTAGAAAACTAGCTGAGAGAAACGCAAAACAAGAGCCTCCGTGGTGCAGTGTGTAATACGCAAACCCCGGAAAGGATAATCGTAGTTCGATCTGGTCCGGGGTCCAAGTTTTGCGGAAATTTCGGCATCACTGTGGTTGTATTTCACATCGTACCATACCGTGAAAGATTATAGTAGGCAGAAAATAAAAAGTTAACATTATTCCTATCAAACCAATGATACTGAGAAGTGGTCATAAAAGGTAGCCTTCGGAGTAGACCACCTAATTTTTTTCTACAAAAATTAGTGTGGTTATAGTTCCATGGAGACTCCGTCATGTCTCAGTATCACCAGCATAATTTCCATCGTTTCGCAGTCTTGCTGGTTTAGGTATTGTAGTTCCCTGGAGTTCTGCCATCGTGGCTCAGTACAGAAGCCTAAAATGCTACGTCAGCGAGCGGAGTGGTCAGTGCTGTCGAACAGCATAACAGCAGAAAGGTGATGCTAGCAGTATTCACCCAGTAGGAGCATAGGGAATCCAGAGTTCTGACCAATGTCTTTAGTAACAAGTCAGAAACTTTACACCCTAAGAAGATGCAACTCGTGTAGATCAGATACATGCTTGCATAACATTTGAACCGTTGGCTGCATGGTCCACATGAATGCCATACGGCATAACTGAAAGATCATGAACCTAATGTCCAGTGTAATTTACGAAGACCACCTCGCATTTGTTGCCTCTGATTGTCGGGTGACTCGAGCGAGTGCCAGTACATTTTCCATTCCTCCATGTCGCTACTAAGAGTAGCCCAGTGGGTTCTCTGCACTCTGAGTACATGTTGAGCATCACGTCTCTTTTCTACGATTTTCGTGAAAAACTTTGACCATTGAGTCGGTAGTCTATCTGCATTACGTTTGACACCCCAAGGAATCCAGTCTCTAACGGCTCTTTTCTATCGGTTGTCGTTCACACGCATTACATGTCCGACCCATCCTATCTTTGACAATTTGGCGTGTGAAATGGAGCCTTTGACTTTTGATCGGAACTTCGAATCCCTTTCCTCATTTGCGTGATATGGGATACCATCGTCCTTTCGACTGCCCGTTCTATATCACTGAGTGATTTTTCATACTATTTACATACCGACCAGGTTTTGACGCATACGCTAAGGCAGGAAGAATCCTGAAGTCGGAATGGTGGGCACGGAGTCGGGTATTTTTGTTCCTTTCATCTTCGATACTCCTGAAGGCTCTCTAAGCCGCTCGCTTCCTCCTGCTCAAATCTGGAGCTAAGTCGTTCATCATGTTAACTTCCCCACCTGTATGAACGTAGCTGTAGCATTGGAGATATTACTTCTGTTGAGCGTGAATGGAGCATGCAGAATTAATCCATTCCTCACGAACATCGTTTTTAAGAACTTGTCGAAGACTGATCTTTCCACAGGCTTTATCAAAATCCGCCAGCATTCGCTCCGCTTGGAAATGTTTGGTGTTATTAGAATGATGTCATACAGCAAAGCGAAGATGGGGTAATTGCCGACCATTGATTTCCACTCACACGTTATCCCATGCCAGTGTTCGCATGACGTTCTCAAGTGTGGCGATACATAATTTTGGGGAGATTGTATCGTCGTGCCTTACCACTGTTTTGGCATCAGTGTTAAGCTTTACAGAATGGTGATTTGTTGGTGGTAAGATTTTTATGTACGAAAAAAATCTTTTATTTCTTTATACGATTTTATAAAAAAAAATCTTTATATACGATTTTTTTTATACACGAAAAATACTTATATACTTAGCAGGGACGCCCTGGCTGTCCAGGGACTGCTTTTGTCTCAACTGAGTTAAAAGCTTTTTTACATCGATGAAAGTGAAATAGAGCGGTCTTTTGTACTTTCGCGATATTTCAGTGAGTCTTGCTATCGTGTGGATCTGGTCCATCGTAGTGAATCCTTTTCGAAACCTGCTTGCACACATGGCTGTCCTTCGTTCAGTGTTCTGTCAAACCTGTTTAGGATAACTCGAGTGAAGAGTTTGTAGAGGACAACAGCAAGCACATTGCATGATGGTCGCTATCGCAAAGGTCACCGTTCTTGAACAACAACACGGTCTTTTCTGGTGTTTTATTGAATAGGAACCTTACATTTTGATAGGTAACGATTGAAAAGCCGAGCCGGTGTATTTACGAGTACTGGTGGTCCTTCAGGTGTAGAAAATTTACCGTCCGGATAAATGTTTTCCGATTTTTAGCCTACGAAATAGCATGTCTGATCTCAGAAAGGAGAAACGTTGGTGTGACATATCCATCGTCCTCTATTTTATGAGGGATGACGTGGCTAGTGAAGAGGCCCGAGTAGTAATTGCGAATAGTTTTCTTTATTACCTTTTTGGAAGCTGTAATTGTTCCGTCTGGGCGTCGTAGTGCAATAGCCTTGGTTTCGTAATTGGCGAAGCTTCGGTGGATTTCGCGAATGCTTTCTCAGCCTTTGCAGCTTTCGTCATAACTGCTGCTTTTCTCCCTCTAAGATCTTCTTCTATCGCCTGTCTGCATCCAAAGACTTAGTTTTTCTACTATGTGGTAGTTCACAAAAAACCACCACAATCACCCGTCAACGGGAACGATCTGGGGAGCACAAATCGGTATTGAACCCAGTTAAGCTGAAGTTGCAATCGAAGTCACTATGTTTGATTTTTTTTCTTTTATTCGGTGCCTGTGCTTCTTTTCATAGCAGAGCATGATGTGAAGCATAGTTACAAGGAGGCTGAGATAGACGAGGGCAGAATTCGGAACTTCAGTTGAGCTTCCAAACGATAATAACCCTTATCGGGGCTCACGTGCTACCCTTTAAAAAACCCTTAAAAAAGAATAGGTAGTAAGTAAAAATTCAGACATTGCGATTTAAACTGCTGTGTCAGGCTAACTAGGTTCAATGTGGATTTGTCCTGTTTACACACAAAAAAAGAAAAGAACTGGCTGAATGAAAGACAAGGAAAGGGCTTCGGTGGTGCAGTGGGTAGCACGTGAGTCTCCGGTAATGGTTATCTCGAGCTCAAATCCTAGCTAAGGTTACAAGTTTTGCTTGTATCTCAACATTCTTGTAGTTACACTTCACATCATAGCCTGCCAAGAAAATAGGATAGGAAGTGAACTAAAAAGAAATTAAACGATTACAAATGCTGTCCATTCCGAATACAACAAAAAGAAGTCAATTTATGAAATTGGTACTTAAATGGGCGTGCCCAAGCATTTGATAGAGACCTGTCAGCACTCGGAGATCCTGCGTCACGACGGCACTACGCGCCGTTCGGCGGCCTCGTGCACTGCGTGGAGATCGATCGCGCGCGAGGTATCGATCGGCACGGACACGTGTGGGGGCGGCCCACGGCAGGAGCGAGTGTAAATACGGTGCCCGTCGTCGCGATCAGTTCCGCCGGGATGTGAAAAGTGGAGCGTTCATGTCTTTCATCCTTTCATCCAACAAGTTCTATTTGCTTTTTTTTTACATATCCTCTAATTCATCAATGTGTGCTGTTCTGTTTGTTAGTGGGTTCTGTTTCAATCAGGCATCACTTAACGTCGATGACTCATCTGTTCATCTGATTGAATTCTATGCCAGAACATTCTCCAAACTCATGGCACACTTTTTCTTTCTGTGGGTAAAATTTTCGTGGTGTAGTATTTTATAAAATGGAATACCCGTTTTCGCTTCCACCACAATTAACCCTAGAAGTTAGAGATCGTGGTTTTATTCCATTTTTTAATCCATAATCGTCCATTACTGGATGTCCTTACGGTGTATAACGTTTTTGTTGGAAATTTGGAAGGTAGGTGCCATTGCATAAAGAACGGAAAAGGCAAACAGGCTTGCAGTACGACGACCACTGATGATTGCCTTTGTTACACGGAGTTTTTCAGCAAGTTTTATATCTGACCAGGCTATCTACGAACGATTTTACCCTTGGTTTGTAAAGTGCCTCCTTTTCCAAAGGAAGCAGAAGCTCGGACGTTTATTCGAATGTTCGATGTTTAAAGCTCGGCTGAAATAGTAGGATTTTCCAATATTGGAGAGCATATATCTAACGACGAGAGAAGGCTTTTGCAGTAGAAGTGATGAAACTGCGTGTTATGTGGAGGTTTGAGTTCGAGTCCTCATCATTCCTTTCCTGTAGAGCTTTAGCAAATTTTGTTTTTTCTGTGTTCTTCCTTTGATAAGCTTACACGAGGTTGATAAACATTTTTATTCGGCTAACCTGTTGACGTCTTCGTCCTCATCAGAGCCGACGATCCGAGTCGATGGTCCACGGTTCTTATGACATCTACCGGGTTTTTCCCACACTTCTTGGGAAGTTCCAGTGCCTGATAGTTTTGCGTTCAGCTTTCATTAATGAAACTTCCGGGGTTGAAATGTCTAGATCACGACCGAAGTCTTATCAGATACACTAGGATTAGCGTTAAGTTGACGTCATCGTAAATTTTTTTTTTGAATACTTGGTAAGTTTTCACGAATCCTGTGAGAGTGAACGCAATTTCCACTTGATTTTTTCTCCTTCGCTTTCAATGTACGTTTGCGAATAGCAGCGGGTTTAGTCCGTTGTGTAATTGGAGTGCTTTTCGGGTGACGTATCATGGCATAGGTTTACTCCATGCTTTAGTGATTTTATAGATCGGTACATGTAGCTCCTAGGGTTTAGTGACTCTTTCGGTAAATGATGCTTCTGCTCTTTGACGCTGTTGGGCACTCAGGGGAAAACCCTTCAGCAAAGTAACAGGTAAGCTATTGGAGCGTTTGTAGAGCGAACTTTGTAGAAATGGATTTTTGACAATGGTTACTTTTTTGTATCGACTAGGTGTTGATGTAAAACATCCTCTCTTCAATTGTCTAAATTTCCGGTAAATAACTCTTTTCTAGTAAATAGCAATTGACTGATTTTTGTGAATTGGCTTGTTTCCATTACTGGAAAAACTGACTTATCTGATGGAATAGTTAAGGTTCAGTTTGACACTGTTAGAATAGCGGTGTATGTTGTGCAAAAACAACGGCTGGCCATTCCAGAAATGGTTCAGTTCAATCAAGTCAAGTAAACGCGAAACATTTGTATGGTTATTAGATGTGTAACTATTTGGCGATTATACCCAAATTTTGTTTCCAAATGCTTTTAACCTTAAGACCTTAGGCTTAAGTTTTGTGGGATTTCCAGTAGTTTATACGACCATCATTTCAACGGTTTACCGCCTCATCGGTGGTGAGAGGTGTTTATGGTTGTCGGGCTACGATGTACGACGGAGGGATTCATTCCACCAGCAGGATCTCCCTAGCTGAGAACGAGTCCAGCGTTTCCATCAGGAAGCCCAGCGAATAATAAACCAGTATCCAGCACTGTCATCGTATCAAACTATCCGCATGGTGGAAAATCTCCATCCGATCCACAAGGGCTGCGACTGCTTATGCCAGTGAACACTTGGGGCAGACTTTAGCGAGGTTGACTTCGGGACTCCATGAAACCACAATGGCTAAGGCAGCAAAACTCCAAAAAGACGAAAATTATGCTGGAGCCCGCATAACCATGGAAGTGACGGGCCATCCAAGTATCCAAGTAGGTAGCCGACCATGGATGAAGAAAATATTTCCGTGATGTTTTGTTAATGAGATAGTCTGTCTTTTAGTTAATGACACCTTTGTGGAGATGATTTCGTCTGTAAACTTGAAGCAGATAGCTCAGCTTATGTTTAATTTTATTTATTACTGCGGAAATTTTAGGAAATCACGCAGTTTTGCCATCAGGTGCAAGTTCACTCATTCTTTTTCTATTCGAGAGTCTTATCTCGAATAGTGAAGTAATTGAGCAAGCGAAATCTCGTCCATGGGAATGCTTCGAATACGTGGGAGTTTGCGTTTGCTTCAGAGTCCCTAAAAATTTGGATCTTGGGGTTTTTGAGAATTTGTAACTTGGATAGAGTTAAAATAGAAGTAAAATTTCAGAAGGATTACATCTACGCTTAGCGTGGTAAGTCGGCACCTCTGCTGTAAGTTTGTTCAGTTCACGAAGTCCAAGCACTTTTGATTCCAAGAAAACCCAACTATGGTTTGTCAACACGTATGTTGACTGTTTAGTGTGGAATCTATTCTTTGAACTAGATTTTCCGTTCAGAAAATTCGTTTTGTCTTGGGATTTTCGATTTCACTTTTTCAATATAGGAGAGAGACATCTCTACTGTTCCCGACATCTTTTTAAAGTTGTTTAGCGTAAGTTGAGCGTTTCACAGTTTTCAGCAAGTGCTTTGAGCTTAACGTCGTCAGATGTTTACTCCGTGATGGGCTGTTTCCAGTTGTTCTTCTTCGTTGTGTCCTTGTGCAACTTCCATAGCGCTGTTTTTGTGTCTGCCCTTCATTCTTCTTGTGTTCCAGGATGTTTGAAACTCTGGCAGAGCGACAAGGTTTTACCACAAAATGAGAAGAATCGGAAAATATCAGTTAGCAGCGTTGTTACAGCAAACGTCAGTGCAAACCGTTGTGATTTTTCCCTATTGTCACTCCTTTATTGTTAAATGCGAAGTCATTGAACAGAACCTTTGCCGAATAATAATTTCAAAGGTTTGGTCAGAGGTGCTTTCACCATTTTTGGTTTCTTCAAAGGTGTGTTTCGAAATTTATGGCTGGGGTTTCTTGCCATTCTTTCAGTCGTTATCGTTCAAAGGACGTTCCCTTGAAATTAGAGCGCTCTTACAAATGATTCAGATAACATCGTTACCTCGGTAGACAAAGCGGTTTGCCAACTCTAGATAGGTGAAGTTATGTTAAGTGTGTGTAATTGAAGGATAAATTTGGCGTGGCTGCCTTACGTAATAAGTTATGAGGCTAGAAATTGACGTTATTTTCCTTAGATTGTCTATATGTCCATAATTACACGTTTGTACCATGTTGAAAGTATAGCGCAGGAAGAGGTGCGTGATATTTCTGATCATTGAGCCATTCTGGAATGTAACTATAGCAATCACCATAGCAAAGTGCATTTGAGCAGCGAACTTGTTGTGTTTTATTAAACCACTAATGTCTGGAACCTTTCAAATATTCTCCATCTCTTAGAAAATTGCCACGACCGACTTTCTATTAATCTCGGCATTGATCAAGTGATTTTCTTCGTATTTTTGTTGAGCAAACGCGAGGTGTTACTATTCTCTGTTCACGATCAAGCTGACGTTTCGGCGGG